AAAAACAATAACATACTATAACAATTTTTCAACTAAAACGACAACTATATAAACAATTTTCCAAGTTATACGACAAATATACAAACGATTTTTATCTTTCTAATTATATAAAATAACATTTTCTAACCATATAAACAAACAATTTTTCAACTAAAACGACAACTAAATTAACAATTTTTCAAGTTATACGACAAATATACAAACAATTTTTAACTTTCAAATTATATAAAATAACATTTTCTAACCATACTATAAATTTTTTTCTACTAAAACAACAAATATATATAAATTTTCAAGTTATACGAAAAATATACAAACGACTATTGTACACATATTATAAAATTTTTTAACCATACTATAAAATTTTTTATACTTCACCAACAAATATATATAAATTTTCAATTTATACGACAAATATACAAACGACTATTGTACACATATTGTAAACATTATTTTAACCATTTTTCAATTTATAAAAACAATTATACGATAAGAATATAGAATTTTCAAGTTATACAACAACTATACAAACGACAAATAACATATTCTAACCATGCTATATCAATTTATGAACTTAAACCACTAACCAAAACATATTGTAAACATTATTCTAACAATTTATTTAACTAATAACTTAAAAAATTAGCATATTCTAACCATTTTACTAAATATACAACTATCCGATGCACACTCTACGCAGTCTCTACTTGTACATTCATACAACCACTAACAAAATAGCATTTAAACTTCAAGTTTACTAATAACAAATATTAAAACTATCAAATACAACAAAATTACCATATCACAAACAATATAATTTCATTTTTTTTTTCACTAACTAATACAATAAATAATAAAATAATAAAGACATATACTAAATAAATGTTAATTAAAACATAAAAAAAGTTAAATCTAACAATATTTTCGGGATTTTTGAAATAATCGTCAATTTTCTTCAAGAAACCGTCAAAAGGAATCCCCGAGAGAGAGAGTTTTTGTATATTGAAGAGTGAAAAATGAAGAAAAAAAAACCGTTTTATAGATTTTCACCTCGAAAATCGCAGATGAACAGTAAAAATCGCTGATTGACTTTTCCATCTGCGAATGTTGTGCTTTAGGCACTTGTACATTCGCAGATGGAAAGCCAAAATCGCAGATGGGGCATTTCTATCTGCGAATTTAGTGGTTATTTTTGCAATTTCTATTTTTTTGGCTAAATTTGTAAGGTAATGAGTGTATTTGACTAATTTTGTAAATTTCTTATGTTTTTTATTAATTTTATTGGTCGTGGGTTATGTATGAAACGTGGGGGCAAAGGGTTGAAGAAAATACATGCAGAATCAACTCTAAAATCCAAACATTAGTTGCATCACTCGCTCCTTTCAAAAACCCCAAATCGCCCATCAAATTCAAATCTCGGACCTTTCCGCCATCTATGGCGACGGTGTTGTAATTACGAACCCTCATACGGTTTTCATCGCCGGGGTTTATCGATCCACTTGTGAAACACTCCGATCACAACTGACCAATATAGTTTTTCCCCTCCAATTTCCGTATTACAATGGCGGTTTCTTTCAAGGTGTCAAAGAAAGGAACCCGATTTCGCCTAAAACCCAAACCTGAATCCCCTTCTTCTGTTCTAGAAGACAGCCACAAAGTTGATGCTCCTCCTCAACTTCCTCATATTCAACCCCCTAGTTCGCGAAAGAGATCGGTATATAGATTATTCTTTCCCTGTTCAAATTAAGTATCAGTTAACGTTCATTTAGAGAGGATCGTAACTGGTTTGTGTTATATTGTACTCTGTCCCACATATGTTTAGCCCAAAATTTATTAGTATAGAGACATTTAATCGATTTGAATCATTGGATGTATGAATTGCTCCAAGTATCTAGTATCTATTTTGTTTGAATAGATTGTATAGAATATAGTAATATATCTTGCGTGCATGAATTTCAGTAAAACTCCCTTTTCACTGACATGCTTATGCGTTACGATCTAGCAAAAGTGATGAATTATTAGAAAGTTTATACATGATAGTAGTATGCGTTCCACCATTTATAATTTTGCAATTCAAACATTTTTGTGAAAGATCAATAATGAAAGCTGCATTATTTTTCATACAGGTTGATGACACCGAAGATGATGACGATATTGCTGGAATTTTAGGTATTTTGGCATCATGAAATATTTACTTGCATTCTTTCTTTAAAACTATTTCCCTTTGCAGATATGTTTCTCTAAATCTCCATTTTATGTTTCTTAGATGCAGAAGTATCCTTTATATTAAACATCTTCCCGGATGGATATACAATCAAAAACCCATCTGAGGTTTGTTTTGGAATCTTTAACTTATATTACATTCCATTTACTACTAACTCCTTTCTGCATGTACTTTTAGGGTAACATTGTCCATCAAAATGCTATACAAAATGACCCAAAGCTTTTGTTCCCTTATGATAGGACATCTGAAAATCTGTTTGCAGTAAGTATTTTGTTTTAACTGTATACATATTGAAGTAACTTTTCCTTTCATTCCTTTCATTAACTATTTCTCTTGTATACTTGAAGGCAATCGAATGTGGTAGACTTCCTGCATATTTTTTGGATGATATACCTTTCAAATTCAGTAATGGAGCAGTTGTGTGCGAGGCAAGTAATCATAATTCATACTTTTTTTTTTTAATTTAAAAAATTTCCATTTTTTGTGAAAGTATGAATTATTGAAGGTGCGAGACTTCCGTGAACAAGGAGTTAATGGTCTTTCTACAGTTGTTTCTCCATGTATTACCAAAGTATCTCTTAAGATGTCATTGAATAATGTGGTGAAAGATATGGATCAGTTTTCTGATAGTGCTTGGACATATGGTGATTTATTGGTAAACATTCGATACACTTTCCAATTTCTTTAAAAGAAATACGCAAGAAAGAATCTAACATTTAATGCAAAATTGGATTCCAGAAGCGGAGTCGCGGATATTAAAAGCCCTAAAACCAACACTTTGTCTGGACCCGACTCCAAACTTAAACAGACTGTGTAAGGAGCCAACTTCCTTAAAGCTAAATCTGAATATTCCTGATATAAGAAAGAAGAGATTGAGGCAAATATATGGAGTTGTTACTGTATCTGAGAATCAGACACAGGGGAAGCTTGATAATGTGAATGTTCCAGAAAAGAGGCCTAAAACCAGTGATAGTTTAAGCTTGATTATGCCTCCTGTTCATGGTAAGAAGGGAAATGAAGATGGCAAGTTGTCTTCCACGGGCAATGTAAATAAAAGAGCTAGGTCAAAGTCAAATCATACATCTGTTTATAGCAATCAAAAACAACGGATATTAGATAGCATCGATGCACCTGAATCCCTCTGGAAAAACATGCCTGTGAAACAAGAGCCAGTTGGCGGCACCACCATGGACAAGTGGCGGCAATAAGTGGAGTAGGGTCTCCTTCTAATGTTGGAAAAGAGATTGATAGAAGTGAGTTTGATAGGTTTTCCAAACTCCACATGTTGGGTGCAAGCAATGTTTTAAAACCCGGGTCGACCCGGCCGGTTCAACCGGTTGGACCGTGACCCGGGATAAAAGGCGGGTCAAATTAGAGCGGACTTTTGTAAAAATACCGACCGCATTGGACCGTGACCCGGGATAAAAGGCGGGTCAAATTAGAGCGGACTTTTGTAAAAATACCGACCGGATCGAACCGGCCGGGTTTACACTAAACCTCGGTTGAACCGGGTATTTCGAACCGCTAAAAACCCGGATTGGCCCGTTTATTAGGGCTTGGATAATTAAGTGAGATTGGCTCTCTCCAGGCAAAACAAACTCGTCTCCTCTGAGAAAGAAAAGTGATTGGAAGAAAGAAAGCAGCGACCAAGGAACGACATCAGCAGCGACTGAACTATAGTCGCTGAAGGAGACTGAAGCAGCGAGCCCAGCGATTTCGTTCTTCTCCAGGTGAGTTTTCTGTTTTCCTGTCCTTGTTTTCCTTGTTTGTTGTGTTTAGATTAAACTCTGTTGACATCAAATTATTGGTATTATATGTCTATGTAGTATGTAGGAAAATAAAAATATAAGAAAATAGAAAAATACCATAAACCGGGTTGACCCGGCGGTTCAACCGGTTGACCCGGCGGTTCAACCGGTTGACCCGTGAACCGGTCATCACACCGGGTCAACTAAAAACCCGAGTTTTAAAACATTGGGTGCAAGGTATCACTGGTTTATTTGCACAATTAACTTTTTCGGTCTCTGAATTATATATATATATATATATATATATATATATATATATATATATATATATATATATATATATGGTAATTTGAGCATATTTTGATGTATTGTTACTGTTTCAGGGTTGGGCCCAATAGAAAAAAGAAGAATATGGATGGATACAAAAGAATTTTAAGTTTTCCTATTCCACAGCTGTTTGATTGTCTTTTAAATGATGAGGATAACGACAACAGTTTAAAAGATGAAACATGTAAAATGCCGCTGTCCATGTCACTTGTGGGTGGGAGCATGAACGTTTGCAAGACTAGGGTTTTGAAGTTCGTGAAGGCTGGTTATGTGTCACAAGGTTACTACAAAATTTGTACTTAAGTAGCCCTTAATTATTATATGATTTGTTCATCATTTATTTATTTATTCAGAAAATGGATTGGTTCCCAAGTTGCGAACTAGACTGATGTTATCTGAAAAAACAAGTGGTGGCACTGTCGCAGTGCATTATGGTGAGCTGGATGATTCTGATGACTTGGCAGAAGAGCAACTTCTTCATACACTTCCAAATACAGTGAGTAATTTTTTTTGGTATTAAATTTTATTTAATTTTGACATCATTCTGAGTTATGGTTTGAATTTGGTCAAACAGCATACTGCGGACTTGTTTGCAAGCCGAGTTCTGCTCTCAGGTATGTATGTCATTGAGTTCATGACATTTTTATAAAATAACAACCTGCTTACATGTTTCTACCCATAATAGATATATGCAACTCGTAATAGTTTTTCTTTAGAAATTAGCAATTTGTTTATAATTTTGTTGATGCAGATGTTGCGTGAAGGTCATCATGTAGAAGGTGACCATGTCCAGGGTGGTCAACCCAACACTAGTCCTGGACTGTTGGTCAAAACTGAGATTCAGCCAATTCTTGAATCTGAAGTTGAACAACAATCATCTCTTTATCATCAACAACACCTCCAAAGATCATCAAATCCACTGCCTCATTTGAATTCAAACATTCACCACTTGGGTGATTATAAGGGGTTGCCACCACAACTTCAGATTTTTACACCAACAGCAACAAGCTCAAAATCAGAAGAAGATGATGATGATGATGGGAATGGGAACGGGGCAACTAACACAAGAACAGGCTGCTGCTATCATGGCTAACAGAATGGTACACGGAAGTACAACACATGTTACTGGAGGGCGATCTGGTAATATCAGAGGTTTTCCAGTGATGGGTTATCATGGTATTAGTATGAATCCTATGCAAAGGAACCCGTATATGAACCAGTTGCATTTACAAACTTTTTCTATTGGAATGCCACATCACCCTCATATGAGTGGTGGTGGAGGTAGGATGGATTTGTGAACTGTTGAGATATCAGATCTCAGTTTGTAAAAAGCTATGCAACTTTTTGACAAGTACATTTGTAGGTCAAAATGATAAAAACTCCATTGCTTGGTTCAGTATACTATAAATAAAGTTTGGATTATTTTCATGTTTGCTTTGCTTTTGTTGCAATTATAGTATTTAATACTTACTGTTAAATAGAAGGGATCTGTTAAGAATAAATTTAAAAGAGTTTCATATAAAAAACATTACAGGCATAATATAAGAACAAATTCATGTAAAAACCTATGCAAAAGTGAATACTTGTCAGTGAAATGTAAAAACAAAAATTTCCATTCGAAGGTGGCAGATGGATAATGCAACAGAAATTAACTTAAAACCTCTCTGTAAATGGAACTAATTAAAAATGGAAGAACATTTCCATGCCAATGCCATGACATATCACCATATCTTCCCTTTGAGCCAGAACAGTATGATAACAACTCCAAGGACAATTGCAACAGGTGCCCACTTCTTGATCAAAGCCTAAACACACACACACACACACACACACAAAACAGAAGGTGTTAACATTTACACCCCAAAATTATATTCTTCAAGAATCAAAGATCTCATCAAATTATAACCAAAAGAAACCAACCTGTCGATTTAAGTCTCTTGCTTTATCAGCATATACACGAGTATCTGATGTTAGACGGCTTGACATTTGACTCACCTCTGCAGTTTATGATTCAACAAATCTAATTTAGGATAAGAAATAATAGATTTTTCAACTAAGAACCCTAAAAAATCAAGGCTAAAGAGAAAAAAACTTACGGTCCAATTTTTCACCAACACCAAGAACTTCCTGTACATTACGAGTCATAATCTGGTGAACTTCATAGAGTTCATCATTCAACTTAGAAATGTTCCTCTGAGTTCTTGTGTCCTGATACAGTTTCTTAGTCCTCTGTATAAATGTATCTATTCAACAAATGGAAGAACAAAGTGTTGGTTAACATAAAGGGATTACCTGTAAATGAAATATAAAACATGTAAAGTTACCAAATTTAATGAAAGCATATGGCCTTGCAGCAGTTTCAATTTGATTTTCATAACCACGTTCAAATTCATTCTTTAGATCTTCAAGATATTGGAAGGCAAGTTTCTTTGGATAAGCACGATCACACATTGTCAAATAACATACTCGCCCTTCAATTATATAGCTGATAAAACTAGGTTAAGGAAAGGGAAAATTTGAAAGCAGAAAGGAGAGATCAAAGTTTAGAGTAAATGAAGGATACTGGAAAACATAAGAGCCAGTTTCGATAGACATTCTTGAGGGTTCGTTTTGTCCCCTTGAAAGGTTCTTGAACAATGCCTTGACTTGCTGTTTGTAGAACTCTGCATCCTGCATATCACGCCCATCATCCAGTCCTTCAGCTAGCGGAAGGCCATCAGTGACACGGGCAATCATTGTCAGCTTCACCATCTTTACTTTGAGAAGCTATCAATCACACAAGCATTCGTTTACAGATCTGTCGTCAAGAGTTTTATAGCAGATTAAGCTAATAGAAATTTGTTTGAGATGCTAGCGCCAGTTCTTCACAAAGACGCCCTATATAATTGAACGCTTAATGGATCAATCGTTTTGAAGGAGAAGAAATAGTAGTATCATCATTTAGACATAGAGAAAACCAAGATCAAGAGCAGTTGACTCCGATCAAACACATTAGAGATTTAAAGAACAATTACGACCCAAGCAGCAAGGAATTAACCTTTATGGATGAATCAGCATAGAGATCAAGCATATACTGATACTCGACTCGATTCAGGTGAGTATAATTTCATATTCATCCGAGAAAAAATCTAATGCAAATAAGAATAGTTGAAACATATACAATAGGAAACAGAAAAATTACCTGAATTATTCAAGTACTTATCATGCGTTTTGATGATCCAATCTATAGTGGATCGTATCTACGGATATAAAATCGATATACAACGAGAATGTTCAAAATCCTGAAAAATTGAATGGTAATCGAAGACGATAATAGGGTTTTTGAAAGGGCAATTGATATTTGGGGATACAGTAGGAGAACGACTCTACGAAGAAACGCAGAATACCGAAATACTAGTAAAACGCGAATTTCTAAATTGTGTTGCCATTCATTAAATTATTGTCTATTCGTTAAAGAATTTAATTTTCTTATTTTGTCGGTAAATAAAAAGTTTTTTATTTTATTTTTTTATTTTTTGAACTGAATACCATTAGGTTGGTCATGTGTCGAGCTTGAGCATATAATTTTTTTATTAGAAAATACACAAGACATAATTCTTGTTTACGATAAGAGAATTATGTTCTATGTATATAACCGGACATATTCATCTTATATGTATTATCAAGTTCTATCGTATTTACCGGCTATGTTCGGTCTTGGGGTTCACTAGGTATATTCGATATCACACATTTTCCAACGTTGTAGATTGGTGTTTTAGTTAGATCTCACTTCAATGATGGAACATGCCGACATGGTTTGATCTTCACCTTGATATTTCCAAATATGACTTCAATGATGGTTGGTGTGGAGGGCTTAAGATGAAGGGTTAACATGAGTGTTAAAATATAAAAAGAATGTTTTCCAATTTTCGAAAATATTTATATGATGTTTGGATTCATTTTGAACATTAAAATGACTTTTAGGCAAAAAGAATTTGATTTATGGTGGTGATAAAAGAAGTTTTTTAAAAAATGTTTAGATTAACTTTGTCAGTGAGAAAAAGTCATAAGAAGTTTTGAAAAATTATAAGAAGTTTTGAAAAATTAAAAATCCTAACTTATTAAAATCTATTCTTTGAAAGGTCGATGAAAAATTATTTTAAAAGTTCTTTTTATATTTTCAAACACTTTTTTGACTTATTGACTTTAAAGAAAAAGTCAATAGTTTTTAAATGAAATCTCAGACATCCTCAAAATTTCCCAATCTTTTCATATAATAACTTGTGTTAATTTTTTTTGTAGGTTTGTTTGTAACACCTAATTTCCGAGTTTTAGTAAAGAAAGGAAAATAATGGGAAGAAAACAAGATATTTTCTATTCTTTCCAATTCTATCCAAAAAAAAAATCTAAAAAACAAGACAATTTCTCATTTTTTTTTCTAGTTTCTTTGTTTCTCTTTCTCTTCTTAAGTTGGACTCGAAAACAAATGTTGGTTTATCAAGGATCGAGGATTAAAAGTGGAAGCAATGATAACTAAATATGCAAAGACACTAGACTTAAAGGACTACAGCCGCAATGCTTTTATAGTTGCAGGGTTGAGATGTAATTATGCTAGAAGTGAAGGGGTTGTTTTGCTGAAGTGTTAAAGAGCTGTAGGGCCTAAAGTTGTGAAGTATTGAAACTTATGGACTAGGGCTCGATTTACGACAAACCTTCCGAACACATGGATCATGTGTACCTAGACTGAATCCGACGAAAATGTAAATGAAGTACTTAATGTGTTGAGTTCTTCATTTGTACCATGTTAACTTGTTATTAGGATTTCTCTAATTTGTTAGAGTTTATGGTTTACTTCTTTGTTTGTTATTAGAGTGTAAGCTATCAAGAGTATTTTGAGTATTATGTAGTTAGGATTTGTTTGTTATATGTCGAGTAATACAAGTATTGAGTCTTTGAGTTCTTTATAAAGAAGGAAACATTATTAATAAACATCAGTCATATGTTGGCTTGGTGATGGGATAAACACCAAACCATATTGTTGGGTGGGTTAATCTTGCTGTTGACGAATGTTTTACTACTGTTGGTAGTCATTTCGCCTCCTATTCCATCATCAATCAATGTTCCACCATATTGAATGATCACGATAAAAAGCATAGTAGGAGATGACGCATGGTTAACATGGTGAGGATACAGTGATGGTCGGTTTTGTATGATACATTGTTCTTTAAGTAACAACATTGAACATGTTCCAAGCATGTTGAAAGAAGAGATTTGTGTTGAATAATACTTGCTAAACAGTCAAACTTGGAGGATAGTTTGTTTATGTAATATATGGCGATGTTTTTATCAAGAACCGCAGACTTGATGTTGTTGAAGACAATGAATGATAGTCTTGATTTTGATGAAGTAATCAGTGACAAAGTGTAACATCCCAAAAATGCAACCCAAAATTTTTTGTTTGAAAACTTTACTAAACCATAATATCAAATATTAAAGGATAAAACCATGAATCATGTATCTCAAAATGTCATAATAAATTTATCAAATCGAAACTAGTGTCAAGATCATATCAAAATATCAGAGTCTAACTCCCAGGCTAAAACTGTGGTGTGTGCCATGCCATCATCCCGAGCCCTTCCCTTTGCTAGCTGAAGTGCCTGAAACCAAAACTGAAACTGTAAGCACAAAGCTTAGTGAGCTCCCCCAAACTACCACATACCATACAATAACATATAATGCACATACTGGGCCTCGCCCACTGCATCGGACCGAAGTCCGGAACTGACTAGGGCCTTGCCCACTGCATCCGACCGAAGTCCGGAACTACTAGGGCCTTGCCCACTGCATCGGACCGAAGTCCGGAACTAACTAGGGCCTTACCCACTGCATCAGACCGAAGTCCGGAACTGCATCGGACCGAAGTCCGGAACTGACTGAACATAGCATAACATAATCATAGCATATAATATGAACACATATACTGCATACTGCATCAGACCATAGTCCGGAACACATAACACACACCATGCCTGTATCACAAAGACACCAAACATACTGAACTACTGCATCGGACTGAAGTCCGGGACTACTGCTAACTAGACGGGCCAGCATTGTGGTCGTAGACCCGTTCCTACTGGAAGGAAACTCACCTCGCAAGGCTGGCTGCTGAAATGCTGCTCGGGAACTGTCTGACTGCTGCTCCGGTAACTCCCCGGCTACAATTCCCAAAAGACACTTAATCAGACACTGATAACTAATCTTAGGGTAAAATAACTATTTTACCCCTGGTCAAAGTCAACAATCCGTTGACCTGACTCGCCGAGTTGGGCCGCCAAATCGTCGAGTCCCTATCTTTCCTTCTACTCCCCTTCCTGACTCTACTCGTCGAGTTTAGAGAAGACTCGATGAGTTCTCCTTCTATAATAACATCAAGACAACCTTTATCTGACTCACCGAGTTGTATGAACAACTCGTCGAGTCCTCCTTCATCATATGAACACGTCCAGTCTGTGACTCGTCGAGTTGTATAAACAACTCGTCGAGTCTGTTCTTACGGGTAAGGAGATTGCCTTGGACTCGCCGAGTCAGGGCGTAGACTCGCTGAGTCCCTCTACACTCAGATCCATGTCTTAACTCACTGAGTCTTTACTCCACTCACTAAACAGACTCGCTACTGCTGAACAGGGAATCTAAGACTCGCGACCTGACTCGCCGAGTCCGAAGAACGACTCGCCGAGTCCTTTGCATGCAGTTTCTATTCAGCCGATTCTAATCAGTTTCAGTGCATCCAATTCATAGATCTGGGTTTCTGGGACCATCTGAACACGTAAAGTTGCTAACTTTACGTGTATCTATGATGCAATGAAGCAATAACACTCAAACTTGGCTATAATGGGGGTTACTTGTCTAGAACAAGGCTATGGCTGCCAAAAGGTGGCCTTCTTGAGCTCCTGGAACTCAAGAGAGGCTAGATCCGAGATATGGCTTGATTACAAAGCTTCATCACTAGGGATTTGGGGTTTTTGAGCTCAAAACCATCAATTTGGGGACAAACTAGATCTAGCAATACAACAACCAAGATGAAAGCTTTATTACCAGAAAGGATGGCCAAAGAGGAGTATAATCTGGATCTACTTCTTCTTCATTGAGTTCTTCTACTTTCTCCTTCTTCTTCTTGCTCAACAATGCACCAAGATTCCTTCACAAGGGCAAAAAATCACTCACACACACTTTAGGGAGGCTAGGGTTTCGGGAATAAGTCTCTGAGAGGTGAAGGAGGCTGGTTTGGGGATATAATGGTGTTTAAATAGGGTACACTCCCTAAAATTAGGGCTTCATCCAGACTGGCGGACTCGCCGAGTCCGGAAATATGGACTCGTCGAGTCGCCACGCCTACTCCACGTGCTAACTCGCTGCTACTCGACGAGTTAGGGCCACTGACTCGTCGAGTAGCTTCTAAAATCAAAAGAAAAATAATGTTTTAAATACATACCAGGAACGGGGCATTACAACTCTCCTCCACTTATCTTAGACTTCATCCTCGAAGTCTGCTGCTACTGAATCTGAAAATAACTCCGGATAATGCTCCCTCATCTCCTCCTCGGTCTCCCATGTCCATTCCGAAGCCTTCCGGTGCTGCCACTGCACCTTCACTAGCTGAACCACCTTGTTCCTCAAGGTCTTCGTCTTCCAATCCAAGATCGCAACTGGTCTCTCGATGTAATTCAGGCTGATGTCAACCTGAATATCCTCCAACGATACAACTGCTGACTTATCCACCAAACATTTCCGTAACTGAGACACATGGAAAGTGTTGTGGATCTGGCTAAGCTCTGCTGGAAGATCTAACCGATAAGCAACCCGACCCACCCCGACCAAAACCCTAAAGGGACCAATGAATCTGGGGCCCAACTTGCCCCTCTTCCGGAACCTAATGACACCCTTCTAGGGTGACACCTTCAGGAGGACCATATCGCCTACCTGGAACTCCAAATCAGAACGCTTCCTATCGGCGTAACTCTTTTGCCGACTCTGAGCGGTCTGGAGCCGGCTACGGACCTGCTGTATCAACTCTGTGGTCTTAAGCACCACCTCAGTGCTCCCCATGACTCTCTGACCGACCTCGCCCCAACAGATTGGGGTCCTACACTTCCTCCCGTAGAGCATCTCAAAGGGAGGCCGGTCTATACTGGAGTGGTAACTGTTGTTATACGAGAATTCCGCTAATGGAAGGTACGTATCCCAACTGCCACCAAAATCTAGGACACATGCCCGAAGCATGTCCTCGAGAGTCTGAATCGTCCTCTCGCTCTGCCCGTCCGTCTGAGGGTGGAAAACGGTGCTGAAAAGGAGACGAGTCCCTATCTCGTCATGGAACCGCTTCCAAAACCTGGAAGTAAACCGGACGTCTCGATCTGATACTACTGAAACAG